ACTTAACCATGTTGGACTTTTATGATAAATGTTATGGCTGAGTGTGAGGTCACTCAATGTCAGCTCAGTATCCCTTTAACAGGGAGGTATAAGTCAATTCTGCCATCTTAAGATTTATCTCTGGTGTACACTAAAATTGGTTGTTTTTCTATCGATTGGGCATTTGAGATACAAAAGCTTGGGAATTGGCTGCATTTTATTTGATGTGTTCCTGTGTCTGTCAAACCCGTAGGAGTGTTATCTGCTGTTTTAATGCGGCTTAAAGCTTCCCAAATCTGGCTTCCATAATTGTTTGGAAATGTCATTTGTTTGAAAAATGGGGTAAATTGAGGGCCTCTCTTTTTCTATTTGCAGATATTAAGAGGTTTTATTTATGCAAGCTGTTAACCAGGTTAACGTTACCCACCCCGTCCCTAGGGATGAAGTAGGAGTTGGAGTGTAGGAGAGGCATACTTCTTAAGGGTGCTCAAAGCCTCTGAAAAAGTTACATCTTCAATAAAAAGCCCACATATTGAGAAACGTTGGAAGGAGGGTGCCTTAAATTGTGAAATCTTCTGTGAGGGATCTTATTTTTCTGGAACTCCCTGACATCTGAGCCCTCATGTTGCTGGAAGGATTCCAAGAGCACCATAAAATTAGGGCTGGTCCTGTCTGAACTGAGTCCAGATCATTTCAAAGTGACTCAAGGCAGGGGAATAAATATTGAACCTAGTTAAATGTTGCTTGAGATTATGCTTGGCACTGGGTGTCCAGTCACTGATTTACTCTTAGGTTACAGGGGTTATTTTGAGGCCTGAATGGATGTTCCAGGGTGGATTCATTCAATGGCAGCAATTATTTGCAAGCACAGTTGCATTTCTGACATGTTTAGCGGAATGTAATGTAGAGATTTATGTGATGGTATTGGGTGGGTGTAACAGACATTAAAGTCCTCAGTTTCATGCTCCTTTACTCAACCCTGGATCACATTTGGCTTTTCCCCATTCCTTTTCTCCTTTTCCTTGTCTTGCTTGAAAAAAACTGACTTCTTTCTTTTCTTTCTTTTTGCTTTCTTTTTCTCTCTTCCTCTTTCTTTTCCTCTTTCTTTTTCTTTCTTTTCCTCTTCCCTTTCCTTTTTTTTTTAGACAATAATTTACAAGTTTTGAATGAACAATAAGAAATCAGAATCAAAGAGATCAAAAGAAAGAGCTGTCATAATGTTCAGCTCATCCCACTCTCACTTTAAACCACCCAAAAAATGTGGGAATAGCTACTTGGAAAAGAAATGTTTTAAATGGGCAGTTACAAGTTTAAAGAACAGATTTTGAAGCACAGGTGCCCATAGTACACATGCACTATGTACAGCCATACAATTTAAGTCCTGTTGAGTTGGCCTGTGACATGTTTCATTTAGGACTGATGTCAGGTCTTGTGTCTCAGTGCCACAGGATGGAAGTCACATGCAGTCCCAGTCTTCTGCTTCTCTTTTCTTCAGCAAGAGGAGGACACTCTGCAGTGCCAAGTTTGGTCTCACTCCTTGATCTGAGGCTCTGGCTGCTGTCAAGAATAGCTGGGCGACACACTGGAGCAGCATTTTGGGATAAAAGCAACCTTTGGGATCAGACAGACCCACATGGGACTCTTGATCTGCACTCTCTTAACTGTTGACCTTCAGCAATTGACCTAAAACTCTCTGAGCTCAGTTTCCTTATCTGTAAGATGGAGATGATAATAGCTCCTACCTTGCAGTACTGTTGTGATGATTTAATGGGGTAATGCATGTAAAGTTCTTGGGTCAGCACCTGGCATACAGCAACACTACATGGTAGATAGCATAACAATTCCTCTGTCAAACCACCTCTCTTTCTAACAAGCCTGCAGACTCTGGGCACAGATGTGACCCTAGCCTCAACCTTCTACAGACCTGGGCATAGAGATGAGATGGCTCAAAAGCTTGGCAGGGGTAGACAATGAGGCAGATCAGAGGTCCAGCATGGCAATCAGGCAGGAACCACCTTCCCAGGACATACCCCTGCCTCTTGGGTTGCAGTGCCCTATGCTTGAGTTCTGATCTGTTTCTATATTGGCATGGCAAGGTGCAGGGTCCTGCCAAACACAATGCCAAGCACAGGCTTAACTATCCTGCTCATATCTTGTAAAATTAGACAGAAAACAACAGTGTATAGATTAAATCCTGTTAGGAGAAAAATCAATAAGAAATATCTGTTTAACAAAGCCCCAGACTTAGACCATCTTCTTGCAATAACTATTCGCTCAAACTTAAAACCAGAAGCCACAATTTTCACATATGTGAGATGTTATAGTTCCCAAAGCCCTTCCCCATACCTTATCTTATTTGAGCCTTCCCAAAACCTTTCAAGGTAAGTATTATCTCCACTTTACAGATAAGAAGCTGATGTTCAGAAAGTTTTAAGTCAAACCCAAGGTCACTCAGCTAATACCTGTTTATTTCTTGATTCCAGATCTTCTGACCCCAGCATTCCCAGCACGACACACGACACTGTTCACCTTTTTCTTCCCACTGAGGACTTGTCACCAAAACCTCTCACATCCCAGCACTTGCCTACACAATCTGGCCCTGATTAGAAACCTGCTCAATGTATAGGCTCTGAATAGGGGCACAAGTTAAATAAGGCATGAAAAAAATCTCTGGTTTAAAATATGATCATGAATAGGCACCATATATACAAAAGAACTTAATGGAAAGAAACAGAGTCCAAAATTTCAGGGGGACTCTTCACTCTTCCAGCTTTAAGAAGCAAACTGGACATGATGGTGATGTACTTTGTGAGCCAGTTAATATAAATATTATGATAATTTTAATGCTAATATGTCCCATAGACCTTAGGGAGAAAGCAATATTCTCACCAAAGGTACAAATGAATGCGGATTTTATGAACAGAGGCAGATCAGTTCCTCTGCACAAACTATGCTCCCACTACACTGATTTATTTCTGTTCCTTCTAATCTAATCTTTCCTGAGAATCCTCATGCCCCTTTCCTTGCTAAGTGGGAAAGAAAGACCTAGCTGGTCACAGGAGCAGTGCTCGTGAGGAGAGGACAACAGACCTAGTGATGTTTCTTTCACCCTCCTCACTTCCCACCACCTGGAAAATGAAGACTGACAACTATTAACGACTCCTGATAACCACGTATGGATTATTCATGAGATAAAGCATGTTTTAACCCATAGCTAGGAAATGATTATTTCATGTCCCACATAGCCCTTCCCCAGCCAGGCCTGAAGCTATGGGGATGGAGGTGGAGCATGGGATTAACCAGGGATGCTGCGCAAAATGTTTGAAGAACCCAACTCCTCGACTGTGGGGAGCACAGGCAGAGCTGATGGGACATCAGCTACACTGGGGAACACAGGACATTGCCTATTTTTTAGGAAATGTTCCAAAAAATTGTTTCCCCTCCTCTTTAGCTCAAAGCGAAGGAAGGTGTTTCCTATGCAGAAAGCGCAACCTCCCCCAGCCCCTCACCCGGGTGAGAGAAGGCTCAGCACCACATCCTCACTGAGCTAACTGAACCAATGGTGCTCTCCACAAGTGCCCACTAGACTACAGCTGAGGTCAACTGCATCATGCCTGATGACATCTGCAGATCCCAAGATACAATTTCATTAATTGCTATGGATAAATCAGTTGGGCATTTGCTGGCAGTATTTAAAATGCCATGATGGGTCAGATTAGAAAGTTGCTAGCACTAAGTCCAAAGGTGATCCCGGGAAGGTTCTTGGCTTCTGCCAAGGGTAAGATGCCACAGCTGCTTGAGTTGACTCCACCAGAACAAAGTGAGGCCTCTGCCAGCAGGCCCATCACTCTATCTAGACAGGTGTGGCCTCCTGCCACAACTAGGACACACATCTGTAATATAACCAGAGACAACCAAGGCACCCTGGGCTGGAGGCAGGGCGGGGGTGACGGCAGTATCAGAACCTACTTCCCGGACGTGTGATGAAGTTCTCCCGGACAGGTGCTTCTCCTCTCTGGAGCAGTGTAATGGTGAAAGACAGGTATTGGAAGTTGAACTACCAAGGTTTGAATCCCAGCTCTGCCCACCAACTATGCAATCATGAGAAAGTCACTTAACCTCACTGAATCTCAGGTTCCTCCTCTGTAAAAGGGAATAATAGAGCTCCTATATAGCCACATAAGATTGCTGTGAGGATTAAAAGACATAATTGGTGTGAAGAGTTAGAACAATGCCTGACTGAATCAACATGAAGTCAGGTTCGATATTATTTTTCCTTTAGGGGCCTCTGTTTTCCCCTTTCCCTTGAAACCCATCCTATCTTCCCTAGTGGGGAAATACCTTGTTCTCTGGGATGCTCCTCTCTTTACTCTGACTGAGTCCAAATCACCAGTCCACACAAAGCTTAACATGTTGTTCTCAGGAGCATTTGTATTCAATAGGAAGGTGGAACTTCAGATATAAGGAGCAAACTCCCAGAGGGAAACTTCCAGTATTATTGGTCTGCAGATGGAAAAGGGTTATTTGTATCATGAAGGAGAGTACTGAATAGGAAGGGAGGAAGTAGACCAGGGCCTCATAACCTGGACATTGATTTCAGGATAAGAAGTTCATATACAAAGGTTTCATAGGTAGAGCAAAGGGCAAGCATAGGAGAAATGACACTACAAAGTTTTGGAGAAAAAATAGGATTGAAGGGGAACCAGTGTTGCCAGATGGAGGCCAACATGTGGAGATCCTGCTTGGAGCACTCACTAGCCCAGAGCCACCTTGCCATGGGATGGACCTGCAGCCTCTGGAGTCCTTGACAAGGGATGGCTGAACTGAGCTGAGTGTTCACTTTCCAGTGCTTTTACATCTCTTCATACACTTTCTCTCTCTCTCTCTCTCTCACACACACACACACACACACACACACACACACACCGCTTTCCAGGTCTGAGAAAAAGATAATAGACAAAACACAAACCCTAAGAATCAAATGCAGACATGTGATGCCGGCCAGGTGCAATTGTACGTACCCTTGGGTAAGGCATGACTCATCACCAAAGTCCCCTTTGCTCTCTGAAAACACTCTGCCTTCTTGCAGATGGATGGTGATAGTCCCATTCCTTTCTAGCTCATACTGAGGCTACCTTGAGCATGTAGCTGGCCATGCAGCCTTGAAAAGGACAATTGACCAGCAGGGACTAGAGTAGAATGAGGAAAGCCAGGCACTCCAAAGCTGCAACATCACCCTCTGGCAGTTATAATTGCTCCCCTGCAGTGAGGGAATGTCCCTGCCCCCTACCCATCAACCACGTAGCTCCTGGAGGGTTCAAGGTCCTGGAGGAAGGGCCTTGGCATGTTTCGACTAACTTCATGCAGCTCAAAGCCCAGCCCATCTCTCTGAAGCTCTGGGCATTTAACAAATGCTTTTAATGATGATGATGCAACCCTTTCAGCTTAGGTCTGTCAGAGTCCCCTGAGAAACATATATTATCTGAAGCTTTCCCTTTTGCTTAATTACATTTTACTAATGTTCTTTTTCCACTAGATTTTTCCTCCCTCAACTCTCCCATCCGAACCCTGCTTCGCTGTGGGTTGGATTTACGTAAAAGGCCAGCACATTATAATTGTGATGATTGATCACTGAAGTTTCCTTGGGTTCAGATTGTTTCCTAATGTGGGTCATTTTTCATCATAAAGAATTGGCTGATAATGATGTCATTTCCATTGCTTGAATTTTGAGGCAGTGGTCACATATCACAAAGTTTAAATGACTGTCTATAGGGCAGCAAAATCATGTCGTTATCAATTTAGAGCAGTTGCTGCTTTACTCCTGGGGACAAAACAAGAATTGGAGCCTCCTAAAACCTCACCAAAGAAGAGCACAGTGCCAGGAATACAAATCTGTATCTGGGCATGGGAAAAGGGGGGTGGAAAAGAGGGGTGCTGGTGAAGCAAACCTGTTTTTGTGTGAGGCTGTGTGGTAAGTATCAGATAAAAATGACAGTCATACTTGACAGAAAATAAGTCATACTGCTGATAACTGAATACCTTTGATGTGCTCTCCCACAATCCTTTAACTGTGATTCCACAGCAAGATTAATGAGCAAGAATTGAAATCACTCACAAAGAGAAGCTTTGGACTAAAACCCATCTGCTAGACAAGCCAATAAATGTCCCTCTCATCAAGTGATTGGGACTGGGATGGAGCTGGAATATGACCCGAATGTTGCATGTGTAAAGTATGGATATGAAATGAAATGCTGTTATGTGTGTTTAAAATAACTAGCTTCATTGTTAAAATTCCAAGACTTACAGACCATATGCAGCATGTCCTTCTGAACGCTCTTGAATACCCTGCAGATGTTAAAAGCTTACAGTGCAGCCCGAGCCCTGTCTTCCACAGTCTTTCTTATGCAACCTAGCATCCCGCCCCCAACTCTTCTTTTTAAAATACTCTAACATGGAAAAATTGCAAGAACAGTAAAATGAACACCCATATTGCTCATCTACATTCACTAATTATTTTTATTGTCCTAAATATGCTTTATCTCTCTGTATACATATACACATATTTTTTTAAAATTTAATCATTTGAGAATTCACTATTTTAGCTTCCCATGCTTCAGGATACGTCACTACTACATACTTAGGTGAGTATTTCAACAAAAAGTTTCTCTCATTTCATATCATACTCCAGAAATTTCACTTTGACATAATACTATTCTCTAATGTGGTCTTTTTAAAGTTCAGTTGTCCCTATCCAGGTTTATGTAGCTGATTTAAGTACATACATACACCTACACACATCCACACACACCGGCACATCCACACACACACACGCCTCCGGGGTTTAATCAAAGATCTCACATTGCATTTAGTTGACATGTTTGCTTTTTCATTTGTTTGTTTTGTTTTGTGTCATTGAATTGCTCCTAGCAGTATCAATATAAACATTTTTATTTCAAAAATTTATTTCTTAGAAAGATGGAGATATGTCAAGAAGACACAAAATTCATCTTGAAGTGATTCCCACTGGGAAAACTGGGATAATTCAAATAGCAAAACAACAAATGACAGACGTAGTTACAACATATTAGAGGAAACAAATATGTATTCTGATATTCTGAAAAATCAAGGTGGGAAGAAAAATGGAACACTCTTCTTTACAGAAGAATACCAACTAATAAATGAGTAGGAAATTTAGAGACAGAAAATTGTCATTTTGTAACCATCATAGTGGTAATTAATTCAGGCAAGGGTCATTATCTCCCAGTCCACATTCATACCTCTCTTTCTCCACCGTGAGAATCCAGGTTCCCAACAACCTGCTATATTTACCCATTTGTCCAGTCCTGCAGTACCCACCATCAGCAACTTACTAAGTAGAGTTAAAGAGTTCCGTACAGTTTCATTTTTGTTCCTAGAAAATGTTCCCTTGGGTTGTACAATCAGCATACTTTGTTCAAAAGTGACTTATTTTTCTAATGTGTGATTTTTATCTATGTCATATAATTTTGGGTTCTTTTTCTGTTTGAATTCAATTTTCATCCTTTTTACCATTTCTTATTTAATTTTATTTTTTGGAAATGTAAATCCTTAACACACTATGAAACTCAAAACCGAATCAAAAGGGATCCTCAGAGAAGTTCTATCTTCTTCCCCACACCTTGCACTTGGTTCCCACTGAACCCTGGAGATAACCAATTTCATTCATTTCTAACTTAATTTCCCCCCCCTTTTTTTTTTTTTTTTCAGAAAAATAAGCAAATTCACTGACAACTTTTTAAGCCATTAACATTTGTGTCCTTTTTGTAAAAATTGCTTTGGAATTTTGGAGAGGTATATGAGAAAAATCCACAAGATGAAGTCACGCCAAGAACTACTTTTTCATTTCCTGATTAGAGTTAAGCGAAGAATTTTTGTTTCAGGGAGAATAATAGAGGCCAACCTAGTCATATTGAACTTAGGGGACTAAGCACTATCAAATTCCTCAAAATCTGTATTTTTTTTGTCTCAGTAACAAATAAGCAAGCAACCAATTTAATTCCATACTGAGTCTCTTGTGGATATGATCAAATTAACCAGCCCAGCAACAGCACTTCCTAGACTCAACATAATTCTGATCACTTTGCTCTGTAGTTTAATACCCTTCCATGTCTTCCTTTAGTCCTCAGAATAAATCCCAAACTTGCAAAGCCCATAGTAGGCTGCCCTCTCCATTTAGTACAGGTACATGTGCGCGCACACACGTGCGCACGCTCGGGCTCCTGAGTCCCAACTCTTTGCTTCTTTTCTCATCCTCTGCTGTTTGCTTTGCTCACACTGAGCCCTACATTTGAAATGCTCTTCCCATCGAAGATGAGGAAGTCAGGTGGATGGGTGTCACCTTCACGAACCCCTTGAGACAAGTCCGTTTGTTGAGCTCTAAAGACACATCTTATGTTGCAGTTTCCCATGTCTGAAACCTGGGGGTTGGGTTTATAACAGGATCTCCTGTGACTACAACCATTTGGGAAGGCACAATGGGAAACTATGTTTCCAATTTAGTCTTGGAGCCAAGGACAGGAGCAGGAGGCTTATTGCTGTTCCAGAACAGAACTTAGGACCCAGTAGTTCCTTTAGCCCCAGCCTCTCGGTCCTGCACTGTGGTGTGGCCCTCAGCCCACCGATGGTAAGGACTGTACCCCACCCTTTGCCTTTCACGCCTCAGGCCTTCCAAGTTCTGACCCTGCAATTGGACGGCTCTGTCTGCCTGACCTCTGTTTCCGTGGGTTGTATTTCCAACCAGGCTAGTAAATTAACAGTCTCCTAGGAGATGTCTTTCTTCAACTCTCTTCTTGCATTGCTACTTCCTGAATCCTACATAAGATTTTACGTGGCTCTATAACAATCCCATAAAATCCAGCATTTAATCTGGGTTTAGATCCTTCTATTGTCTTCAACTCCATGCTTCCGCTTGAAGAGAAGCTAACGCCACAGTGATTTTCAGGCTTGACTGTGAAAAAGAATCACCTGAGACATTTCTGACTCAGTAATCTATGGGCAGGGCACTAGAATCTGCATTTCCAGCATGTACCAGGACCTTTTTAAGAAACCCAGTAGGCAGGCAGTCTGGGTGCTCCACCCTAACTGGGCCCTGTGAATGCTAGAGATACTCTCTCTCCCAATTACTCAGAATGACCCATTCACCAGACATCCTTAGTAAACTCTTGGGTTCTAAACCAGCAATCGCTCTTACCAGAACCACTGCCCTCAGCTGGCCCAGACAGGAACTACAGCTCTAAGACACTCCCTTCTCTTGATCCCAACCAATTACCTTCTTGCCCCAAAACAAATTTATCTTTGAACTGCGAGTAATAGTATTTTTGCACTCAAAAAAAGACATTATTATGCTGCCTACTCATACTCTGTTTATTCACACCAATGTAATTTTTATTAAAATAGAATAATATTTACATATTTCACTTGTAAAGGTGTTTAGATAGTAGGCATACTTAGAATTCTCTTTCCATCACCCAACTTGTAGAAAATAATTTCACTAAGACCCAGCTAATCAATATTTCTTTCCTTAGAAACATAATAAGATGAAATTGGGCTTGACATCTATGAAGCAGGTACAAATTAATGAGAATTACCTCCACCTGGCAGAAGAGTGGCTAAAACACGTGGTAGAAGATGTCCTGGCCATTTATAAGCAGAGGCTGGTGGAGGCGGCCACAAAGAACCAAGTCCAGTGGAGGCACATGACAGCTGGTTCCGAGGGGTGCTAGGGGACTGTTTTCCTCCAGCCCTTGGGACACAGGTATGCTTGTCTTCACTTGTGAGGATGTCAGCAGCTGCTTTGGCTGAGAGTACATGTGGTCTTACTGGCAACGCTGTTTTGTGTGTGTGTGTGTGTGTGTGTGTGTGGGTATGTGGTTTTTTTTTTTTACAGAGCCTTGAAAGAAATCAGAAGAGATTCTGAGAAGGTAGCTAAGGAATCCCAGATCACCCACCCTAAGAGTTGGGAAAGAAGAAAGAGGGCATGACGCACCCAAGGGAATGACGCCTCTGCACCGCCGCTGTCCCATCTCACAAGCACAGTAGCGGCTACCTGCGAGGCTCTGGGAGCTTTCTGCTGGAATCCTCCTCCTGCTCTGCCATGACCAGTTGTGATTCTGGGCAAGTTACTTAGTCTCTGTTAGCCTTCCCCACCCACTTGAGGAGGGATAGTTTCAACCCGTGTCACTGACAACAACCGCACTGATGACATCAGGTATCTGACACAAAATAAGTATTCAATGAGCATGCCTACTTTTTTGCTGTGGTAAAATAGACATAACAAAATTTACCATTGTGGCTATTTGTAAGGGTACAGTTCAGTGGCATTCAGTACATCCACACTGTTGTGGAACCATCATCACTCTCCGTCTCTAGAACCTTTTCATCA